GGTCCTAGACCCCATAAGTTCATATAAGTTCTGTGAGTTGCTGAATGAAATACAACCTCGAAGTCGCAAACCGTTGATCTGAGTTCCTAGATACACCTGGATTCAACTGTAACTGTGCAGAGAAAACACCCCATCAACCGCATGTGACTGCAGCAACCTGATTCCATCCGACGGCATCGATGAAGGGAACCTATTAGCAAATAACCAAACCCAACAAACTCCTCTTTGAGCCAGCTTTGCTCGACATCATCTGACGAATTCGCAATTCCTATGCAGGAGCTCCTCTGAGGAAACAAGAAGCGAAACACCAGGAAACCATTCACAATCGACGGAAGCTTTGTGGCAGTGGAAACATGGCCTCATCGGTCCTTTCATCCATCTGCTCTTCCTCGCCTAGCCGCGTCGAAGCGCAGACTTTTTGCGCAAGTTGCAGCGCTAGGTGCGAATCCTGGTTTTGTGTCACCGCCATGGTTGAAGAAACAACATATAACATCTCATTTTGTGGCATTATAACATCGACTAAAGTGGGGGTGCATCCAGCGTTATCAACCAAATTTGATCTTCACCTCGATTTCAATCGCTGAACTGGACAATGATTTCTCCACGTCGATATGGACGCCCAAACATGTCAACAATTTGTGTGCTGGCTCTATGCCAAAAGTGTTCTGCCTGACTGACTCCTGGGAAAATTCGCAAGAACAAAACCTCAACGAAGGACCTGACTGACTCCTGTTGGAGCCCGTCATCCACGCGGTTCCTTCCCCTTGCCACAGGCATCCCCTTCAATCATGAAGCCGGTCCAACAAGGCACAAAGCTACTGAGAATCAGCCATTGTACTCTCCAAGTGACTAACACGGAAGTGGAAAACCTTTGTAGAGGAACATGGTTATCCTGGATTCCACTTCGATGATGTCTTCAGGGCGTGTAGCTGAATTCCGCACTTTTGGTGAGAAAATCAGTATGGAGACAGCATCACCTTGAACATATTCAGAAAACAAGACTTTATCCGAAAAATGACCTGACAATCAACAATTTGCTTGCATCACTGTGAGAATCTGAATAGCTTAGGGCTTAGGACCAAGACCCACGACGTGATACATGTGGCAAACATCCAAGCAGTTCCAGGATTTCCCGGTCACATAATTTTATACTGTCATGGCACGTGTTGGCTTTTGGTTTTGAGCCGGCTTCTTGCATCCGGTCTCACGAATACACCTATACCAACTACGCATAAGCATGTGTATTCGGTGAGGTCCAGGGTTTGCCTCCAGGGGTCCAGCAACACTTCCGGGTTCATCCGCCCACTTCTTTAGGGACAAAGATCAACGGGATCCCTGTTTTTCGGCCGCAAAGAACAATCCTTTTGAGCATCTGAAAGAATGAGAACGATTGAGTACAGCACCCATTCCAAGTGGGCATGGCCCGGGCCAGCCCTGCTTCTCTGGCCCGCTGGACGCCTCTGCTGGGGAGATCCTGGTCACTGATCACAGCGGATGACGTTGCAAGTCTTGAGACACCGAGGCCAAAGTGTCTGAATCAACTCAATCATGCCAAACGTACAAAACGTCATAAGGACCTTCGGAATGACATCATATCAAGTCCATCAACTGTCTCTACCAGGTGGCGAGGCAAGAAAGGTGTACTCGTGACTCGTGGGAAGAGTTTCTAGTACACGACTTCTTCAAGATCTTCCTGCATTGGATGAAAAATGATAATCGATGTTGCAATCTCAAGAAGCCTTTCTACCAACATTTGCCGACCACTTTAACCACAGCTGTGGTACCGGTACCAAACCTGAGATGTGATTAAAAGGGTACTGCGACAGTCCAAAGCAACAAGGTTGACAACGGTTGACATCTGGACAGTCCCCTGGTAGATAAATAGAAAAGGAACATGTAGAACAAGCCCACCTGCGCAGGAATCTGATCAATGCACGAAGACAGGTCCATCAACTAAACTAAACAACTTGATTTTTCCCGTGAACTCTCGTCTCAATGCATCATATGATTCAAAAGTATTGGGAAATTGGATGATGTGCTGAAACAGGTAGAAACAGGTAGAAACCATTATATCCTTTTTGATCCAGCCTGGTGACATGAACCTGCTTTTGGAACGAGTCTCCTCGGGTCCGGCACCATTTTGCCGGGTCCGGCGCTCGGGCCTGGACGAGCTCGTCGACCTCGGGCCTGGGACGCAGCAAAGCAGAAGCCCAGCCGATGCGCCTTTGACATCGAAACATCCTTTAACGAATGGGGTGGACCACCTACGAACAAACACCCAGTTCTTCTCCTCAATCCATGAAATTCGGGGGCACCAAAGGTCTTTCCAATTCCAACGAGCCAAGCGCCGACCCTCTCGGTGCCTTTTCAGCGTGTAGTTCTTGAAAAACAACTGTTCTCTCCGAGCCAATGACCTCCAAAAGGCGCCGTGGTCCTCCTCACCTGCGAGATGGAATTTTGGCTACGCGACGGATCGAGGCCGGGATGCCACTCCGTGATGCACGTAAGGCGACGAGGGGTTGGTCCTTACGTTGGTCACGATGTCACACGGAAAGAAAACAAATCTAGGGAGCATATATCGGCTCACATGTGCTCTCCCCCTTCCTCAAGCAATCGGAAGAAAGCAAAACAAAGCAGTCACCATGCCGTTGTCGCTTGTATGTTCGTAAGCTGAAAAGACTCATCATCAGGGAACGTGGCCTGGAAAATTCCACTTGGCCATGGCTTCCGGGCTGCTACTGTGTTGGTTCTTTTGTATATGATGGGCAATTATGTGGCAAAGTGCAGCTCAATGAACTTGCTAGCTCAAAGGATCTATCCAATGTCCCAACGAGGAGCTGTTGTGAAACGTCTATCTTCTCGATCCATGTAAGAGATGATCAAGCCGACTTCGCTCGATTGATCGAAACACCTCCTGTTGCCATGTGTGTCAAAACATGTTGAACACAATTATGTGTTGACCATGTGTATTTCACGGATTGACATTGATATGACATTGATGTATCCAGCACTGTGCTATGCACTGTGCTATTGCAAGCTCTTCAACGAGCAGCTGTACGTCTGCGACAGCCAACTCATGGAATTCATGAGAACTCCAACCGGGACTTTTGGAACAACTCCGGACGCGCTGGGCTCGTACGACGGAAGGGCCGAGCCCTGAAAAACAAAGACACTCGACAAACGGCATCCTGTTTGGGGGCGAAGGAAGACTATATTTTTTCTCAATGAGTGCAAGTGTTAGAGTTTAGTATATGATTGTGTGTGGCAAAATTGTGGGTCCTCAAAGCCCCTAGTGTGTTCGGAAAAAAGGTTTGGTCCCTCATTGAGCAAGTGACCTGGGGGTTGTCTGGTGTTCAATCAGGCCTGATGCTTGGAGAAACCTCATGAGGGCAACCTTCAGAATAAATGCTTTGCACAAGGAGGGATTGCACTGGGGCTCCATACAATAGAGTTTGTACAAAAAGGGCTGGCTGGTAGACAACCCTACCTTATCTAGCTTCATCTGTATCCACCCTTGTAGAACATATCGTTCCCACTGCATGGATCTTTTGGCTGTGGCGCCACGTCGCAGCGACAAGGAGTCTCAGCACCCGAGAGGCTTCTCCCAGGTGATAGGAGCATGATGATTCGGCCAGATACGGCAAGTTTACTGTGGGACATCCAATCCTCAAAGCAGTTCGACCACGCATCGATCGACCAAGCACGCATCTTACGTTGAGAGGAACAAGGCAACGACTAAGAAGTGATTGGAACTTGGAATCTGCTGACGAAGGGTTCAACACGTGTAGCTCAATAGTTGCTGCTCAACACTCTTTTCGATGTCAATGATCTACAACTGCATTCAATCCTCGAAGCTAGGTACTGTATCGTTCTGCACTTCTGAATGAGCCATGTCTGGCAGAGCTTTGTGCAAAAGCAAACGCACAAAGAGTCAACAAAAAGCAATTTGGTGTAGGCTGTACCAGATCTAGATATTATACATGCATGTATAGTGTGTAGATGGCATAAGTTGTCATAGGTCATACGTATCAATATCGTATCGCTATCCAAGTACAAGACGCCTTTCCAGGCTGTTGTCGTGCCCGAGAAGAACAGTGCTTGAGCATATGTACAGTAGCTATCCTGCATTGTCAACCTGTTAGCCCCAGCCAACTATACCGAGTTTTGGATGAGAGGGACTACGTAATCATTCGCTGTACATCTCGAAGAGGCCCTCGGAAAATGCTGAGACTCAGAAACTACTGGGTCCAGCCCGTGGACTGCACGGGTTTGGTCCAATGGTGCACAGCAAGCTCGAATTAGTTCTGATCGAACTCATGGCAACACATCTAGTGCTTCACTGCTTCACTAGACTAAGACGCTCCCCGCAACACTGATGTTTCAGGTTCCGTATTGAAAACGAGAGAACCCCTAAATTCGGGTCGACAGAAAAATGGAGCACAGCCCAGCCAGAGGCTATAGCTGTCGTTTCAAGGTTCATGGACTTCAAAGACGAGTAGTCTCCACGAATGCAAAAGACCCCTCCACTTGAGTATTGGATGGCTTCTGGGTCTTGAGAAGAGCAGTTCCTAAGCTGAGGGAGGGATTGCAGGGAAAGGTGGAGTCAACCCACAACCGATATCCAGCATAGAACAACCACAGGCATGACGTGGAGAACCAGCTCAAACCATGAAAATGGCAGAACAGCTGGGAAACCGTCTTGACTAGTGCTTCCTCGTACTGGCGAGAAGCTCTCTAGGGCATGAGGATAAAGTCCACAAGCTTCCGAGTCCGAACAAGTTATTTTGGATTCAAGCTTGCTTGCAGTATTGCAGGCAGTGGATACTGTCCAACCTGCAGTGGATGCTATGGAGTATATATTATATATATATGCAGTGGATGCTTACTTCATTATATATATATATATCTTCATTGGAGTCATAGCTCATTTTGGTTCTGGGAATGCAATAGCATGTATGTTGCAATATCAGTGGGGGGGTCCTGGTCGTGATTTTGGCAACATACATGTAGTGGCTAAGTCTATTTAAGTCTATGTTGTACCAATTTGTACCACGCGGTTCGCGGTCACAAATCCTGTCTATGTCACAGTCGGGCACTGAAGCCTCAGGATTCGTTGACGAGCCGAAGGGATCGAGCAGAAGAAACGAGACCCTTGTTACTAGTAGCTTGTCGCTACTAGTAGAAATGTCCTTGTTACTAGAAGCGATGCACTTGTTACTAGCAGTGATGCACTTGTTCTACCTTAAAGGTTTTCGGCTGTCAGCTCTGGGTCTGCACTTCATACCTGAAAATAAACATTGAAGCAGCTTGCAGCTGGCACTTCCTCATGAGCAACCGCAAGATGTATATCTGTTCATGAAAATTTCGATACATCATTTGGCATAACCCCCCGGACATCAACCCACAAAACGGCTGTGCCTCCCGAGCTATTCCCCCACGGCCAGTCCGAAGAAGCTGTGAGTCTCATGTGGAAGACACCTGGATTGACAAGGAGCACCTCTTGTAGACCATCCTCTCTGAGTTTTCAGGCTCTTATAAAGAACAAGCATGAACAAGAAAAGAATAAACTCAGTTGCATCTTCCCCATCCATCAACCATCCCTCCCTGGAATGACACCGTCCTTCTTTCGGTTCCGTTTCTTTCTTCGCTTCTGGGTCGCAGGACACGCCCACCGCAGGACGTGTAGGCTTCATTTGGATCACTCCCCGTTGGGGTCCACAATCTCCACACTCCCTGGCGCCTGGTTCATCGGGTCAGGATGGCGATTTCAAGGAGAGGAAGCCAAGCAAAGCAAAGCCATGCAAAATAGGTTGATTGTTTTGTCGTTTTGTTTTTTGTCCGTCCTCCTATTGATGCTAACAGTCTAGGTAACAAAGACTCTGGTGAACAGTGTCTATACACTACAACATGAAACATGAAGTGAAGAGTGGGTGGCACGTCTGAGTGTCGATCATGCATTGAATCGGCTCCACAATGATGTACGTGTCATATCATTATAAACAAACACAACAATTAGAGATACATTATGCATGTATTGCATATACTGGTCTCAGTATACTGTATATAAACGTGATGACATTTGTCATACAGAATGATGGCCATCAGCTGTTTTCGGTGATGCCCTCCAAATAGAAGCTGGATGAAGCTGGGTCGAGGTCCAGCCAGCTCCACAAAATCCACCGAGAAGTCTTCACCCATTAGAATTAAGATGTAAACACATGTGTTGCATCGTAAACAAATGCATGTTGAATTAATCTCATGATCCACCATGATGGACACGGTTTGGTCGGAATGGTCCGACACGGTTGGGGGGTGATTTCCAGCGGATTCGAACAGGGGTTCTTTCGTTCCAAGTGTTCAAAGAACAAGTCTCACTAGGACAAAATAGCGATGGCCTCCAAACTACTAGCGATTGCATCCAACCTAATAGCAATGATGGCCTCCAACCCAATTAATAGCCACGGCCTGCAACCTAATTACTGGCGATGGCCTCCAAGTCACTAGAACTTTATAGTAGAACTGCATCTCCTGAATCTTCTTCCAGCTAACTCAGCACTTTTGTGGATTCCAGCATCACCTGCAAAGCCAAGCCGGCGCGTCAGACGGCTCCAGAAGGCTCGCCTCTGGGGGCAAGCCCAAGCGCTTCCGACGCGCTTGCATCTTGATTTCATTGAAAGCCTCAGTCTTCCGAAGGGGTCGCAGTCGGTCATCGAATTTGATCGACGAAGTCACCTCGACCAGTCAAACATAGTCGTTTTCTGCCAGGTAGCAGCATTCACGGTTTTGTTACATCGGCTCGGCTGGAGCTTTCCAGAGCATAGGTTTCAGTATATGAATATTGAATAGAATTCAATTGCGATGGCCTCCAACCTACTAGCAATGGCCTCCAACCTACGAATGGTGAATGCAAGGCCTACAGTTTTGAAGAGCAAACATACCACCTCTTGGGCACACCATAAGCCCACAGACCGCAGCAAGGTTCAATCAGCATGCGGCCAAGCATTCGGAAGGTAAACCTCATAATATGAGAATGATCTCATGTTTAGGTCATCAAAACCTTTAAACTTTAGTGTCATCAGCTCAAAGCTTCTCTCACTATTCCTCACTGTTTCAGCCTTTACAGGCCACCGCAGCAGCCAACATTTGCATGTGGCTCCCATCAAAGCAACTCGTCGATAGATCGCTTTCTATCCCTCCATGCGGCTGCTACTCTGAGGCTACCATTTTGAGATCTTTTGAGGGAGATCCCGGACCTCATCCGTTTGGAACAGCCAATGCCAGAACACAAGCACCGCACAGAGGTAGGTACCGGATCACTGAGCCCCGTGACTTCTTGCGTGTTCTTATTCATGCTCGCTTGCTGGAAGGTCATATGGGTCCTGCAAAGAGTCGCTGAAAAGAGAGCGCAGCTCGCAAACAGCCCGAAGCTGGAGACCCCACGGCGTCCCATGCCAACTAGAGGGTCAGGATGTAGACTCATCAAAAAGATCCTGAACGTCCAAATGTCTTTGCACCCAAATGCTCTGGACACAGCCGGAGAATCGAGACCCCAAACCCCTCCCAAACGATTCGGGTCGGTCGCGTCTTTGCAGGATCTATCAAACATCTGATTCTACTCTGTGGCCTGTAGGGCTTCAACGTCGGCCCTCCGGTTCTCAGTCGGTCCTCGCATAGTCCCTCCACATCCCCTCCTTACTCTCTGTGTAACGCTCGATCGCCTCTGGTGGAAAGTCTTTTTCGGCGCCAAACATGAATGGCTGGGCACTGCCGACAGATGTCATGGTGTTTCTTTCCAGTCATGTTGTCAAAAGCTCTATATAGTAATACCTTTTTCGCTATTAGGGTGGAGGCCCTTGCTAGTAGGTTGGAGGCATCGCTATTAGGATTATTAGGTTTACCCTTCATCGGGTCAACACAAAGGACAGTCTCTTTTGAATCAGTAGATCTTGATTTGGCTTGGCCCGCCAGGAACCATCGATGCCTGGAACAGGAACCATCCGAAGGCAGTGAAGGCCGCTAGCCCCTGAGTTGTCGGGGCAGGGAGCGCTGAAACGATTGTTCCACATCCATGATTGTTGGATGGAGACTATAATCTAAAAGAATGTTGTCTACAAACGTGCTGAGATAGGGAGGATCCAATCATTTCACTGTTACGCAAAGACTGGAGAAGCAAGAAAGGTGCCATGCAAACCGATCAAGTAGAGGATTGGGTATATACAATTCCCAGTAACAGTGGAGGATGATGGTCGGTGAAGGTTTTTCTGAAAAAAACACATAATCTTAGCTTGTATCGACTACTACTGGTCATGGGACACACCCAAATATGGGACGCATGGGATGCATTCCTCCTTTGGGGAGGGCAAACTCGAATGGATGTTTTCGTTTTGTTTCCATCAGCTAGTCATAAACAAGCAACATTGGTCGATGTCACGGAGTTTCAGTAGATGAGTTTCCTGTGGGCCTGTGGCAGTTTCAGGAGGTATTCGCAAACACTTGAGCTGGATGTTCTTTCTTTTTCATCAGGTTTGTTGGACACATGAGTAGAACCGAGAAGCAGCAGAAAGCAGACATCGGACTGAGGCAGATTTGCACTGACCAACCGAGGGCGGGATCCAAACCGCCGAGTCACCGATGGTTTTCACGGGATCCAAACCGAGTCACAAGGACATGGCTTGATCTAAATTGGATGAGGGTGGATGATAGCAATCCTTCTGGTCCCAGTTGCTCCAGCAGTATCATAATCTGCCCCAAAAACAGCTGTTTACATGTGTTTGTTCGTTTTTTTGTGAACTGAAAAGGCATGAGGATCTCTGTCATGTCGCTCTAGGAAGTCAACTTCATCAATATTTGCAAGTATTATAGCTTCGCTGGTGCTTTCCTCTGAGGATTCCACCAGCCACGAGTAGACCGTGGTCTGTTTGCGGTTACGGTTCGGGAAATATCTGTACCTGAAGCCGTGGCAGGTAGAGAGTCCTCTTCAATGGGGGCCATCTGGAGCGATGGAGAGTATGAGCAGACCTCCACCCAATCAATTCTCAGCATAGTTGCACGGGTAGAGCAGAACTTATACAAGTAATAAATAATACAGTAAGAACAAACATAATGATACTAATAATATACACATATATATACACCTATATATATATATATATCAATTCTGAAAGCGCAAACCATAGACATGTTGTAGGGGGTTGCACCTTTTGTCACAGCTTAAAACACGAAATGGTCGTTTTTGGCACAGCTTTTGCGGTTTCTGAAGCGAGAAAAGCCCTGGCGCACGGAGGTGTCTCCGCATTCAGTTTCTTCCATCGATCAGGGATGTCCTGGGGTTCTTCAGTTCCAAACAAATGAGAAGGGACGAGCTAGGACGCTACTAGGAGCGATCGGACTCTACGAACGGGGCTCCTGGCATCGCTACGAACGGAGCGATCGGACGCTTCGGTTCCAAACAAATGAGAAGGGCGCTCCAGGAACTTCTGGGACTCCTTGGTAGTTCAATCGGAGCAGCACACATGGAGTTGGTCTGATGGCTTTTTGCGCTCCATAATATCATAAGGTCTGTGACCATGAGCAAGGCAACGGAGTAAGTCAATCCATTCTGCTTGCGCGAACATGAGTCACGCTACCCTCAAACATCCTTGAACCATATTGTTTTGCTGATTGGTTGCTAAACCAAAACCAAAACAACAACTATGATCTATTTGACTTCTCTTATGGATGGAGATCACCAACCACTGAGTCATTGACTGAAGTCACAATGGTCCCAGACTAGATCACCAGATGGCCCAAACCCCAAGATGTCTTTAGATGGGGGGTCTACCACTATACAAACAAATCCACAGGACGATACTTGGGCATATGCAAAGGCCTTCCAGGAATTGCTGTAGATACGATATGCTGCTTGTTGAGCTTTCACCTACTCCTTGGATGTCAACCTGCTTCCAAACGGTGGTCATTCAAAGGGATGATCTGCTGGTCGTCAATTTCGACAAGCTGTCCTTGAGGTCCATCTCAGCAGGCCCAGCAGGTAGCGTCTTTGGGCTTGAGCCCCAAAATTCCGAAACACCATCCGTGGGGGGGCCAAAACAGAGCTACGAAGCATGTCACTGAGGACATCAAAGAGAATTTAGCTGTACTGGTGTGTTTCAACCAAACAAAGGCTCTATATAGAGCACTTACCACATGGCAATATATTATACTATATTGCATGCAATGACATAGCATGTTTCAAACACTCACAACCCGCCGGTAGATGATGCATTGGAGGCCGCACAGTTTGTCCTGTGCCTGTTTGGTGGGGCTCCAATTCCATGGCCTCATGCTCTACGTTCGCCTCCAAGCGATTGGAATTCATCGGCTGAAGCAATGCTTGTTTGTTCAAGTCGGCCAAGAGCTGGACATCTCAAGTCTTGCATGGCTGGAAAATCCATTGCCTTGAAGTATCACATCGACACAGCGGCTGAAACTCAAAAGCCAAACTTACTTGTTCCGTACGTGAGTAGTTTGTGACATGCACCGTGTCTAATCAGAACGCATTTCTCGCAGCCCTGGCTGGCCCGGCTTCGCAGCCCGACCGGTCCCTGAAAACCGGATGTGAGATCCCAAACCCCTCCATATGAAGGACATCTGGGGGTGGACCAAGCCCTTACATATAAATGAAATGAAGGTATACCTAAAAAGGTGGGTGGATCATTTTTAGGAGAAAGGAGTCAGGAGAAAGGAGTCCGCGCTTCCCGGACTTGCAAGCATTTTCACTTTTCGGCCATTGGCGCTGTCCTGGCTTGGGCCTTGAGGTGTGGCTGAGCTCAGCCCGGCATAGTAGGTGTTTATGAATCTATTGCGACTCTTAGACTCTTAATATATCTTAATCAAGTGTCCTTCTGCGTAGTTCATTGAGCCTCCCACCGTCAGCCCTGACCTTCGGGTGAAACGACCACGAGGACACCCGACGACCGCTGTCCGGGGTCCGGCGCTGTCCGGCCACCGGTGACGCCGACCCCGTCACGTGGTGGACATGAGGTGGTTGGACCTGAGGCGGTACGGGTCATGGTCAGACGGGGGGGACTGAACCCGTCGTGAGGGACTGAACGAACAGGTCGTTTGTTTGTTTCGAATTTTCGACATGGGGGACTGCTGGAGATAGGTGAAGCACGGTGAACCCTTGGAAGGGATCACAAACTGCCGAAGTGGTTGAGTGGAGGGGAGCAAGTTCAATGTAGCTGGCAGGCTGGCAGTGTATTCTTGCGACATTGAGCAAACGAAAGTGGGTGGCAAGGACGCAAATGAAAGCTCAACTCTACGTGTAGAGTTGAACATCCATGTGACATACCAATTCCATCAATGCTGAGTCGGTGATTCGCCTCTAGGCGTCTGAGATGGAAGTCTCAGTACCGTGTCTGGGGTACTGTGTTGGATTTTGATGCCCAGCCTGGAGACCCAGCTTAGCTCATGCAGGTGACACCAAAGCAAAAGGATAGACGGCCATAGGTTCTAAATACATCTAAATAAGACATGTATGACACGAACCGCAGTTGTCTTGCACTAGGACAAGCACTTCCTGTCAAGACTCAATGATGAATTAGAAATGTCTCCCACTTGGAAACAAATCGCGAGTCAAGAAAGCCGATGATTGAAACATGAAGCACTATTCTCACGGAGGAGGGCTCAGGTTTCTGTGGAGCTGAAGGTGCGAAGCAATGAATGCACCATGCACAGGGGAAAGAACCGTGCACGCTATGTGCCGTCCATGTGGCCAGAACACATCTCGCTGTCCATGTCAGGGGGTCAACATGGTGAACTTCGAGCCAAGCATGAGGTTGAGCAAAGCCCTTTTGCTTCCCTTTTCAACGATCCGAACCCAGGCCCCACCGCGGCCCGGCCCTTTCTAAGGGCCCAGCACGTCCACCATCTTCTTGCCGCACATCGCGCAACTTAGCATGAGAATCCGAGGAGCTGAGGGAGTCATTTCTTGATTAACACACATATATATATATATATGTGCACAGTATACACACCAACAAGAAACAAGTTGGCAAGCGAGTTTGATGAGGGTGGTCGGAAATGAACGGATGAGAGATGAGAGTCAAGACGTCTTCTCTGCCTCATCTGCCTCATATGAAACGTCGATTGAAGTCCTGGGACAAGTTTTCTGATTGCAGCTGAACTCAAACTGGAATTCACATTTCTTCCGATTCTTCCATCTTCACATTTCTTCTTTCAGCGGTGATTGGGAGTGCGCCCGGCGGCGCTGCTTTCCGAGAGGTGCCCAGATTTGGAGGTGTTACAGTAACAAGGATTTGGCATCGTCTCAGCCACAGGCTCGGCTCTAACCTGAATAAACCGCCTATCACCTTTACAAGACAGTCTTTTTGTGCATTGCTTGACACTTGTGGCATGTCAAACTAGGTACCATCAGGTACCTCTTAAACTGCTCCCGAGTTCAACATGGGTCGCCAGGAGCGACCAACACAGGAGTCGCGGTCTGTGCTGTTCCTGTCGCATGAGTCGCCCCAAAAGCGGGAAGCGCGAACCGCGGTCGCCCTGGAAGAGTATTCTCAGCTATGCACAAGCCGTTGGTGTAGGCACATTGTGAGCAGTAGACCTGGCAACTGAACCACCGGCCAAGTTGTGCAAGGTGAACAATGGCACCGTGCCAAACGAAGTGGGGACGGGTGGGGAGCAATCACCCCATTGATTACCCACATGAGCCAATGCTTCCGTTTTCCGAGAAAACTTCACTCATGGTACTGAAGCTCAAGAAAACAGCAGTGATTTTTGTTGACCACAGAGCAGAACTTTCCCAATCAACTAGGTGGGCGGCTCTCAAGTTCTTTTCCGAAGAACTTCCTATGACAGTCAAAGAACCTGTGTTCACGTAACGTCCTTAGAGCCTTCCTTGTATTCAGAAATGGTCCCATCGAACAATCCAAGTTGAAATGACTCTTGCATTCTTGTGTGAAGCTCAAACCAGAAGGGACAAGAAAACAACAAGTTTCTGAGTACTTGGGTCCCAATTGTATATATTCGAAAGCGGTCTACAGGGAAAAGCACATCTGCTGGAAACAAAAGGGTCATTGTTTCTCAGCTAAACCCATCTAAACCCTCACACTCGCGTGCCCCTCCATGGCCCATGGTGGTCAATCTGGCATGAAAGGTTGGCGTTGCATTCAAGGCACGTCATATGTGTGAAAACACACACACACACACCTCCCAGTTGATGACGTATAGCGAGGCATCGCTGCTCCCATGGACCAAAAAAAGGAAAAGTCTGCGGAGGGCATCTCTGCCTCATATTTGTCCCTGTGGCTTAGCTGTTGAAGCGACAGTGACTTCTGCCAACAACTCTGGACTGAAGTCAGCACTAACTTAGTGCAGCTTGCTTGAATGAGTAAATACAGCAAGCGTAAATTGACATAAACCATCCTGCGCATCCTGCCTTTCCTGCCTGACAGTGGTCTTTGAGCAAAAACCTTGTATTACAGTCACTCCACTAGACAATAAGGCCGAAGCACGCAGGACACTGGGACTGTGGCAACTGCCGGGATGCTACTGCACGGTGCTCTTGAGGTAGCAGCACAGCCCAGAGTACTCTTGGAATCAATAAATAACAGTAGCACATGTGACAAAAAATATCCAAGGGTGGCCAAACTAGTTTTAAAAAAGTCCATCCGACATGACATCAGTGTCTTCATGTATAGACAGGGAGCACGTATCTGCACTTCCAGCAATATGTATTTTGATGGCAAACGATGCATCAATCTTCATTATTCTCTTCAATTTTCCCAATAGCCAATAGCCCTTGTTTGGTCTTTCTGCCAACAATTGGACCATCAACTCCTCCCAGAACATGCATCCCTACTCAGTGCCCTTTGCAGTTCAGCTCTGTGCATCTTCACAAGATTCACTTCCTTCCACGTGGACTTCTTGAACGTGGGGATCCCAGCACCCCTTTGCCATTGTCGTTCCCACGGTAGCCTGGTGCACGCGACATGGTGAAAGGAAAGGTTAAGCTGCCCTTGCAATACTGATGCCGATTATGCCGATTCCCTAGAATAAAAGGTCAACCGTTTCCCTTTAGTGAAGTTCCTATCCAACCTAATAGAGATGGCCTCCAACCTAAGAGCGATGGCCTCCACCTCCTCCCGAGCCGATTCCCTGGAAAGAAAGGTCAAATCTGCTCTTGTTTGGTGGAGAAACCAATCCCACAAGCATAGATTGAGGTTACCTACTGATTGGGTAGAAATAGCATGGCCCTTGTGTCCTTCCCTTGAACACTCCCAAATATGTACCGCGTGCATCAATGGTTCATTTATCTCTCTTCCATTTGTTGCAAGTACTGACATAGTTGCACAGAATTGACAAACACAGCCTGTGTGTCAAGCGCACTTTCAAGATTTAAGCATTCTCACATACACACCGTGCCCATGCTTCTTTCGATTGACTCAAGCTGACACCCTGACGCATGCCCAAGCAAACCTTGCCTGGCCCTGTGGTCCTCCCGAGCCGGTTGTTGTCGACTCGGTCCCACTGCTCTTTCGCGCGATCAAACTGCTTCTGGGATTCAGCAGTGTTGCCTGTCACGACGGCTGGCTACAGTACAAGCTGGGGAGAAACTCTTCGGTCCTTATTGCCATTGATGAGGACAAAGTGTGCTTGGAATACCAACGCATCTTTGAAGTCCGCAGTGGTGACCATTTAATCCACCTCTAGTATCTGATCAATGTACCGAAGGCATTTCGCATGCATCTCGCTTTTGTTTTTCAACGCCGAGGCCATGACTGAAGAATTATCTTGTTTCTCTCAATTGCGGAGCGCACTTATTATATATATATAGAGAGAAAGAGAATATTTGCTGGTCTCCTTATCTTCCTCCATGGCTTGGCTCTTTCTTGGATCCCTAGACTGGCCCATGTACAAACATCATCCACTGGCCTTGCAAATTGGCCAGAAGGCCCTGAGCAGCATGGACTCCAGCATGGAGGCTGGATCGTACCCAGCCCTTGTCATGCATCCTTAGTAGAGTCTGTTTGGGCAGCGCACTCCAGTTCCCCAAGACAGTAATCTGAGTGGTAAAAGAAAACTGGTTGAATCAGGATGAGTAAAGAATTGAATGTGAGTTTCTTAAGGCTCCAGAGACTTGTTTCAGGGGGTTCCCTCTTATGGCAGCAAATTCGGAATTCTTGTGAACAGTTGCAAGCAACAGCATTGGAAT